GAAAGTGACAGGGATAAATGGATCATGTGACCTCTGGCAGCGAGCTAACTCAGTGCGTCCAAACGCAGCAGCAATTCATTCCATCCCCCACTTATAAAAGAAAGAACCCCAGAAGTTTTTGTTCAGAAAGAAACATTTTGCTTAAATAAAATACCACAACAGTGGGCAATACAAGGAAACAAAGACGAGGCTTCTTTGTAACATTTTAACAGTGTTTAATACGGGCCGTTTATATGTCACTCTACCAAACCACAAATACAAAATTAAACAAAAAGAAAGATAAAAATTTCTCTTCCAGCAAACATATGTGCTGCGTTTGTATTATCAAAATCTATGTTTTGACCTTCTGTGTTCGCAAATCAGTCCGTGCGTCATGATGTCACATGTACGAATAAATCATCCATAGTCTTTTTTTGGACTGACGATTGGCGGTGGAAAAAATTATACAAATCACCCAACCCTAGTGTGCCCCCTAGTGTGTGTAGGGCCAGAAGCATGCTGGGTAAAGCTGAAGGAGTCCATGAGGCTGAAGAAAGTCATGGCGGAGATGCTGATGCATGCTTTTATCAACAGTAGGATAGACTACTGCAATGCCCTGCTTTCTGGTCTTCCTAAAAAGAGCATCTCAGGCTTACAACTTCTACAAAATTTGACAGCACATGTCCTGATGAAGACCAGGAGGCGGGAGCACATGACACCAGTTTTAGAATCATTGCATTGGCTCCCCGTATGTTTCAGGATCCATTTTAAGGTTCTTCTAATGGTTTTTAAGTGTCTTAACAGTCTTGGGCCTTCTTATCTCTCAGAACTGCTTTTACCATATGAACCCTCACAGCCTCTGCGCTCCTCTGGCAGGTGTCTCCTGGTCATCCCTAAAGTTAGGACACACACTCATGGCAAGGCGTCCTTCCAGTGTAATGGCCCTCGCCTCTGGAACGAGCTGCCAGAGGACCTCAGGGCGGCAGAGAACGTTCATGTTTTTAAGTCCAGGCTCAAGACCCATCTTTTTAGGTTAGCTTTTATCTAAATATTTACTACAGTTTTATTTCTCGTTTTACATGATTATATTTTATTGCTTGCTTTGCATGTTTTATATGATTATATTTTAGCACAGTTTTGTAATTTAATATTACTATTTTACTGTCTATATGATTTTATTTATTACTTATTTTCTAACTTTTGTCCCTTATATTAGCTCTTTTATTATATTTTTACTCATTTTAATCCAGTGTTTCCTCTGTAGGGGCCCTCTGCCCCGGGAGCGGTGGTCGACTGTAGCTTCCTGGGCGCTCTATAGGTGAGGGTCTATGCTCCCCCTCCACTGAGCGCCCTGACTTAGTGTGGAAGACCTGATGCTGCCGGGGCAGACGGCTCCTCTGATGGTGTTTCCTTGCCTTACTTTACTTGGCTCATCTGGACTCAGCCAAATATAATTTTTACTTGTGTGCGTGTGTGTGTGTGTGTGTGTGCTTGCATATGTCTGTTAATGTTTTTAACCTGTTATGGGAATCTGGGGTCATTTTGTAAAGCACTTTGAGTAGCACTTTGTTGGAAAAGCGCTTTATAAATAAATCTGATTGATTGACGGCAACATGGTCTGAGGGATCGTCAACATGGATGTTACAATTACCAACATTCACCAGTCTGGACAGCTTTACAGTGGAGGATAAAGTCACTAAACTCCTGAAGGAAAGAACTGTTTGGACCAGGTGGACAATAAACACAGTAAACGGGTCCTTACGCCCACCATTGTCATATGTATGAATCTTTAAACTGGCTATCGTTAAACTCAATAAGGCATTTTCATTGGTTACAGTTTATTTTTAAATGCCATTTCTTAAGTTATCCTTATTATTTAAAACATTACTTAATCCCACTTAGTTCTTCCTTTAGCTTAAGGCATACTGAACACTTATTTTTTTATGTTCCCAAAATTAATAAAGAAGTTGGTCGATGGGCATTTCAATTTAAAGCACCATCAGATTGGAATAAGTTAGCTAATACAATTAGATCTATCACCTCTTAATTCTTTTAAGGCTTCTATATATGATTATCAACAGAATACATGTCACTATTTTTGATTTGACTCTTTGTAACTACCTAATTGTTATTTTTACTTTTTTTTTTTGCATCAATACAATTTGAGGGATTGTATTTGGAATATAGGTAAAGAGAGCAGTATGAATGTTTGAGTGTGAAGTGTGTTGTCTGCATCGCCATTGTTATGCTTTTTCTTTTTTTTTATAAGGATCCCATTGAAAACGAGATGTTGCATCTCAAGGGGTTATCCTTTAAATAAATAAATTTCAAATTTTATCAGCTGCAGTTTAAAAGAAGCAAAGCGACCAGAGGTTGTAAAGCTACATGGAACATGGTCTCTAAAATTAACAGCTAGGCCTCCACCATGACCAGAACCCCAGGGCTGGCTAAGTAATAAATCACCACGCGGGCAGAGTTCAATCAGACCAGAATAATCAGATGTTTGCTGCCAAATGTCAGTCAGAAACAGAAAATCCAGGTTTTTAAAGAGAATTTTATCATTAAGCAGGAAGGAATTATTGTTAACAGAGCGGGTGTTTAATAGAGCCATGCAGAGTGAGGTGGAGCAATATAAAAAGTACTGAAACAGCTGGAGTTAGTGGACATATATTAGCAGGATTAGCTCCACAGTGTTTATAATAACCACTTATGGAGGGAACAGGAAAAACCACTGAGGAATGAGGTTAAACAGACCTTAATCAATTTCCCTCTGGGATTAATAAAGTATTTTTGAATTGAATTGAATTTAAAAAACTTGGATGGAGAAATCGCACCAAATTGCGGCCTGGTGGCAATGCGGAAGTGGCGTCTCCAAACAAAGAAAAAGAAGCTAAAAGATCACACCGATGTTTACTAGATAAACCACGCATATCTGGATTAGTGCTTGTTTACCCCTTAGATTCCTGCCTGTTTACCCCTTAGATGCTTTCCCGGGATCGGATAAGCATCAATGTAGGCGTTCAGGTAGGAATCAGTGTTTGGCTCTGGGCCAGCCTGCTGCTCATGTAAACAAACAGGGAGGTAAATTCTTGGCACATCTTTGGCGATTGCGGACGAACTGAAGGACAAAAGAGTTGGGCGATCATAGGAGATGGTAGCCAGGACACTACCGAAGAGGCCCGCAAACAAGCAAGCAGCAGCGGAAGGGAGGAGGTTAGCAGAGAAAAGTTTGAAAAGGTGGTCGGTGACCGCAGCAAAACCAAGCACAGGTAACATCTTGCTACCGACCTGGTAACGACAATATGTGAAGTTAGGAATTACAAGAAAAATCTGGCTAAATTTAGTGAGGTTAGATTAGTTCTCAATCATAACCCATCCGACGCCAGGTGCAGAGTCTACTGCACCAGTGGTGAGAGCTACTGGTAGATCCAACTGGCAAAATGAAGTCTGTCTCGACAAGACTGCGGAGTGGTTGGGTCCCCCCAGTCTTGAATGTTGTTCTTCTGGGGTATTCAAAGGTCAAATGTCCCTAGAACACAACTCAGCTGGTCTGAGGTTACTCTCTGGAATAGAAGTTTGCTTCTGTTGGAGGCTGGCGGGTTGGTGTCTGATGAAGTTGTGGCAGATTAAAACAAATAATGGTTGTTTGGTTCTGAAAAAGGTGGTTCTATCCCCACCAGTGTGTGAATGTGAGTGTGAATGGGTGAATGACTGTGTTGTAAAGCGCCTTGGGGGGTTCCAGGACCCGCTATATCAAATACAGGCCATTTACCATTTTACCATTTATGCTGCTAAATGTCTTCTGTTGTAAGATCTGTCTTGATCTCACAAAAGATCTTCAGTTAGCATTTTGCCTGGAACTCTGAAATAGTGTGTCTCTAACTTTTAAGGCCTATGTTGGACCAATCATAGACCAAAAATGTACTGTAGGAGTATCAAATTCCTCTGCACCCCATCTTTCCTTAAGAGACCTATAAAGAACTATTTTACTTACTGTCGTGGTCGAATTGTGGACATGAGTGGTAAAAAATTATTATTAACTCATCAAGTCATTTCATTTGGTGTAATTAAGATCTAAAATAATGTATTTCAACAATAAACAGTTATTTTGATTCACTTATAACTTTCAAGCAATCAAGTCTTGCGAGGCTGGCTTATGTAGATATGGTTATAAACAGAGCATTTGTACTGGTTTGGAGAGCACACTGTTTCTCATGCAAATGAAGATTGCTGGACAGTGTAATGCCTGATGACCTTTGGTATGTACATGACTTTCTTAACGCTACACAATATCAAGAAATTACCTCATTACGTGTTAGTACCCTAGCATTGTCAACATTGATCTGCACATCTTCCAGATCATTAAATGAGTAAGGTTGTAGCATACTGGTGTCCGAGGCTGCGCAGTGGTTAGAGCTGTTGCCTTGTAGCAAGAAGGTCCTGGGTTTGCTTCCCAGCCTGGGATCTTTCTGCATGGAGTTTGCATGTTCTCGCATGCGTGGGTTCTCTCCGGGTACTCCGGCTTCTTCCCACAGTCCAAAAACATGACTGTTAGGTTGATTGGTCTGTCCAAATTGTCCTTAGGTGTGAGTGTGTGTGTGCATAATTGTTTGTCCTGTGTGTCTCTGTGTTGCCCTGCGATGGACTGGCTCTCTGTCCAGGGTGTACCCTGCCTGATTGCCCGTTGACCGCTGGAGATAGGCACCAGCCCAGCCCAGGCCCCGTGTACTGTACAGTGTGAGCACATGACTCGAGAGTTTTGCTCTGCGACGAAGTCATACAGTTTGAGCTGAAGCTGAACGAGAAGTAAAACAGTTGCACGGTGTCCACCCGGCTTAAGGGTACAGAGCCGGTCAAGTGTTCCATGGCCAGTGTTCATGGTAATATTTAAGCCAAACTCAATATTAGTAATGTTTTTTTTCCAGGTTATGAATGAGATTAAAATTCTGGCATTGAAAGGTTGAGGATATTGCACATTCCTATCTGCCTTCAATTGATATATTTTAGGAAGTTTTACTCACAGCGGAGGCACCTGCATAATGTCACCAGTAAAAAGCATCAGTTTTTCCTCCATCTTATCTCTGGTTATGTGATCTGTCAGAGAAAAGAAATAAAGGCAGGGTAACAACCAGAAAACAATGACTTACAGTCAGGAACCTAAGCATTACGATTTAGAAAGTTCTCCCACTTAGAAATAACGGAAGGGTTTGAAATTCACACTGTAGGTGCATTTCCAATGTTAGTATTAAAAAATAAATAAAATAAAATCAAGAAATCACATTATAAAACTTTTATAAAACTTGTTAGGGGCCTGCCCCTGAAATACATGGGGAGCAGATACATGAGCAGCGACTGCTTTGTGAATCTATTTTTCTTGTCTCCTACCAATGCAGGAGTAAATCATTATAGGCCCTCTGCAGAGCAGTTTGAAGTTTCCCAAACGTTCTTACAGTATCAACACATTTAATAAGCCCAATTCCTGCCATCGTGTGCTGCAGATGCAATTATTTCTGTGTTTCACGGCTGCAGGGGGGATGTGCTTTTTTAAAGTGATTTATTTCAGATTACCAGTCGAGGAGCAGACCCAGGTATTTGATAAAGCCTTGTTTTTAATTAATCAGTCGGTCAAGTCTCTGTTCATGCAGAAGGCTGTACGGGTTGGGCTAGGTGCAGAAAATTTGTGCATAACTAAAATAAATACAGTGTCTCTGTCTGTTAACAGCAATATTTTTGATTATTTGGCCTGCCATAAGAGAAAAAAATGGGAGTTCACTTTTTCAAAGTCATTTTCACCATGTTAATCATACATTTATAAATGTTAAAGTTTCCAAATAAATATTTAGTTAGCAAGTTTAACATTTAACTTGGAGTTAAACATTTATTTTGTAAACCAAATATTGAGGTCTGACCTAAATATTTAGTTAGCAAAATAAATATTGAATGAACTAACTAAATATTTAATTTGGACCAAAATATTTAATTTACAAGCTTAGCATTTAGCTCCAAATTAAATATTTATGTTCCAAAATAAATATTTAGATATCAGCTTAATATTCATTTTGGAGCTAAACATTTAGTTTGCAAAATCAGCATTTAGTTTGGAGAAATAAATATTCAAGTCAGACCCAAATATATAGTGTGAAGCAAAATTATATTGTGGAAAATAAATATTGAGCTGGTACTTAAATATTTAGCTAATATGCAAATTCACTTGCCAATAAGCGGAAGTTGGTTACCAAAATAAAAGCTGTATCTTGCTAACCTCTTTATAAGGTCTTGCTCCAAGCCAGAATTTGTTTTATCGCTGGTTCTATTCTTCTGAGCATGTCCGACGTGTTGGCTGAAAACATAGGACGAGTCATTCTTACAGCAATAGTCTTTTACAAATGGATCAGTGCCAGCTGTCGCCACAGAACGACCGCAACAGAGGGCGCCCCCAGCTTCTGCTGTACTGAAATTTCAGGCCAACCTTTTCCAAATGACTTAAAGATCCCAACATCCCAGCCTCAACATATGTCAGCATTAGTGATGAACAGTTGGATACTATCATATCCCAAATAAAAACTGAACATCCAAATATTGGGGGAAATTATGCTCTTGGGACATCTGCACTCCAGAGACAGTGTACTTCAAAGAAGACGTTTAAGAAAATCTTTACAAATCTTTCTAGAGTTGACTCAATGGGTAATTAAGAAGACGATCTGTAGCCAGACGAGTATATTCGGTCCCACATCCATCTATTCCTCAGTGTCGCTCCTGCGCTTCTCCGAGTCAGCGCTCAGATTATTAACGGACACAAAAAATGCAACCAAAACCTGCCTGTTCCACACATTATCACACACAACACTCGCTCCGAGTAGGGTGACCAGATCCCGACTTGCCAAATGTGGGACAGAGACTACTCGGTGTGGGACAACGTCAAGTTTCAATGTGTAAAGGATGAGTAGTTTACATCTTACTTATGAACCATAAAATGTGAGATTCCATAGAAATATGAAATATCAATCTGATGGATCTTTGAATATTTTAACCAGAAGATCAGAACTTTTTATTGCAGGGATTAAACAACACTGTATTAACTCTGAGGAAAGAAAGAGAGTCAGGTTTATAATAGTTAAGAAATTTATTTCTACACAATTTAAATAAGACTAACTTAAACACTGTGTACTGATGGAACTAAGGTGGAGTGAGACGTGAGATGAATGATGTATATGTGTGGAATGTTGTTATCAGAACCTCGTATCCGGAGAAGCATTTAGTTCTATTTTGTCTAGTCTTAGCCCTTAAGCTAGCTGCTATTGGAAGGGTGATCTCAGCATCAGCCAATCATGAAGAGCTTAAATGTACGCCCACCAATGGTGGGCACCCCTTGTGGGTATATAAGTGGAGCGACTCCACTGTTCGCCTTTGTTATCTCTTCAAGCCAAGCTTAAGCTCCGCCGGGTTGAGTACTTCATCCCCACCTCCGACGAGGAATTTCCAGTGGCTGACACGTACTCGCTGGACAAGGCCTTGCAGTTCTTCAACATCGGCCAGGAGCCAGCTGGCTCCAACCGAATGGATGATGACATTGACCGTGAGGAGTACGATGAGGCTGGCTGCCATAGCCCTTCTTCCCTCTTGGACAACACGGAGGTCGAAGAGCCTCCCTCAGCGGGTTCCTCTGCTCCAGTGCCTTCTCGCTCCTCCCTGCCAGCAGTTAGAGCACTGCTCCAGGAGCTACCTGCCATCATCTCCGCAACTGCGGTCCGCAAGGGGCTAGCCATGCCAGAACCGGCTCCGCCTGAAGCAGATGATTTAGTGGGAATTTTCGGGGCAAAACAAACACGCTGTCCAGACCCCATCTGGCCGCGCTTCCCCGCTGCCTTGAGCTGCTGGTCCGCCGCCTTCTCTGAGCCTGCTAAGCTCAAAGCGCCAATTTCCACATATGCGCCCATTACCAAAGTCGAGGGCTTCCCCGACCAGGGCTGCCCAACCGTTCCTCCACTGGAGCCGGATCTGGCCTCGCTGTTTGGCGCCAAGAACCACCTCGCTGGCCAGCGAGCAGTTCCCGCTTCTAAGCATGACCATCTGCTGGCGCGGCTCACCGATCGCGCACACCAGTGCACCTTCCAGGAAATAACATCGCCCTTCTTGCCTTTGGCATCTCCAAAATGGTGGAAGAGCTTGACGCTCCTGACAAGTCGAAAACTATCATTACCAAAACTGCTGATGCCATTCTTAATCTGTGCACTGCTGTACTCACTGGTTCTGCTCGCATTGCTGCCTGGCAGATCCTTATCCAGCGGGCCTTGTGGCTCAAGGCCTTTCCCTCCATTCCCGAACACTTGCACAGAGAGATGCTGGAAGGTCCCATCACCTCTGACTTTTTGTTTGGCCCCCATCTTAGGAGCGCCATCGAGAGGGCTAAGAAGACAGCTGAACTGTCAGCCACCGTGCAAGACTTGGTCCACCCCCAGTCCGCCTCTCACTCTGGCCGTTCCTCCAGAGGATGGGACGAACGGTGCTGAAACTTCAGATGCCCAGCTGCACCGCCCACCCCACGGAGCCGGCCTCCCGCTGAGGTTCCACCTCAGCGGGACCAGAGAGTTGGCAGCCAACGGTTTTGAAAGAGCCAGCAGACACCGTATTGGCCGTCACAAGAACCTCGCCGAAAGCAACCACGAAAATGACTCATTGGGGGGAATGTGTGTGTGTTTCTGATTATAATGTTAACTCTGTGAATGATTTTGGTTTTGAAATAAAACCCCAAAAACGTCACATTGAGAGCACAATCCTACAGTCCTCTGCAGAATCGTCTGCCGAATCCTCACATGTTCCCCACATCAAGCACTGCGACACACCTGCATGTTCATGCAGTCAATCATATTACACGCCTACAGCCAGCTGTAAGGTGTGCGCTCCATTTGCGCACCGGCCCTAGCTTCCTGCCACGCCCAACACATCCCGCTCCCCCCACAACCTAGGGTGGGACGGGATGTCATGGCGCTATTGCGACCATGCGCGGCTCCATCCGCTGGCACTTTGTCATCCCCATGCACGAGTCCGGCTCCCACTCATCCTTTATCTTTGGACACCAAGCTCCGCGGTACGGATCAGCCTCTTCCAACTGTTTCACATTCGCCCTTTCGAGCGCAGGCCTCCATGGGTCGCGACGGCGGTAAGGGCACGAACCCAGTCCTCAGATGTCGTTCACGTGACCTCGAACACGCGTCCGCTGTCAGAACGCGCGCAAGAATGGCGCCACCGTTGTCTCATGAGCAAATGGATATCGGACACTATTCATTACGGTCACACACTCCATTTTCAGTCCGCTCCTCCTCCCTTCAACGGGATCATGGAGACGACGTTCATGTCACAGGAACAATTTCAGGCCCTAGAGCTGGAGCTACGGGAACTTCTGTCCAAGGACGCCATTTTCCAAGTTCCTTGCTCTCGGGCTTCTACTCCCACTACTTCGTAGTACCGAAGAAGTCGGGAGGAATGAGACCAATTCTCGACCTTTCCCTGTTCAACTGCTCCATAGCAGTGATGCATTTCCGCATGTTAACAATGAGGCAAGTCCTAGAATACGTGCGCTCCGGGGACTGGTTCACGTCGATGGACCTGAAAGACGCATATTTCCACATCCCAGTAATTCCCAAACACCAGAAGTTCCTGCACTTTTCATTCAAGGGAGTTCAATACCAGTTCAGTCGTCTCCCTTTCGGCTACTCGCTAGCCCCACGTACCTTCTCCAAATGTCTGGAGACAGCTCTGCAGCCATTGTGCAAGGCAGGAATAAGGGTTTTATTTTACCTGGACGATCTGCTCCTTAAGCCAATGGCCCCACTAGTTCTGTTAGGACCAAGAGCCATCGGAGGCGCACAGTGGAGTTGCTCCATTTATATACCCACAGGGGTGCCCACCATTGGTGGGCGTACATTTAAGCTCTTCATGATTGGCTGATGCTGAGATCACCCTTCCAATAGCAGCTAGCTTAAGGGCTGCGACTAGACTCATAGAATCTGGGGTTACAATACGTAACCAACGTTCTGAGTGGGAGTGAATGTTTTGCTCTAAACTTTAGAGATTTATAACACACATGAGACGCCATCTGTCGGTCTACGTACCCAAGGGGAAGCCTCTGTTTAGATCCAGAATGTCGAGGTCCTCTTGGACCCTCCTTAGAACCGAAGCCAGTAGAAAAGCTGTGACGCCGACCAAACTAGTCTTGGAATGCTTCCAGGTCACGACAGGTTCATTGGCGTCAGCGAGACCCTGAAGGGGTTGTGAGGTTCAGCTTTTACTCTGAAGGAGCCGTTGCAGTCAGGTGTAACTTGCAACAGATTTCATCCAGCTTGTCTGAGGTTCTTTATGGCTGAAGAGGAAGTCCGGATGGCCTGTCCGAAACTTCTCTAGAATGCTTGAACTAAAGGAAAGGTGGCGTGGAATAGTTTTTATAATTGTCATAATTTGGTTTACTGGCGAATCAGAATTTGACATGCAAAAGAGGGTTTATACAAACACCACAGAAAACCACGCCTCGCGTCAGAAACTAAGGTTCTGATTGGATCAGATAAAAGGAAATGTGTCGTGTGACTTTAGCATTACGTGTCATCAGTGTCTAGTGCAAATGTCCAGGATTATAATTACCTGTAAAATACTACTGATCACAGGATTATAGTATCAAGTAATAACATTGTCATTTCACAGATTGATTGAACATTGGGCTCACATTATTATTGGCAATAACAAAGTTGGTTGATTATGTGTTTATCAAGAGAGTTCTTCGTCTTCGTCTTGAGCTGTAACAGAGGTGAAGCAGTTCAGATGAGCAGAGTGCATGAAAGACCTTGGCCACTATCTCATGTAAATTAGGCCTGTCAGAGACTTTATGTCTCTGCTCGAGCAGACGCAGCAGATCATTACCTTTAGGTCAAAAACAGGACATTCATGATGCTACAAATGTAATGAGAAACAAACAAACAAAACGTACATTCTGCCTTTTAGCCCTAACATCAATGTTACATACACATGCAATTATTCTTATTATAATCATATATTTCTTGTATTTATTTTATTTGAATTCAACATGAAGAAGCATACAGCAAAAGCTTTACTATTTCACTGTTCTTTTTGCCTCAAATTTCTGAGAATAAGTGATCAAAACTTCCATTTATTCTCTCATTATTTGTTCACTGTGCTTTAAGAGGCTCAGTGTGTACGCAGGTATCTGAAACCGCAGCACCTTGTCTGTGTTAAGAGCCTCCAATGTGTTTATCATGGACCTGTCTCTTCATACCAGACTCCGTGCCGAAACATGAAAAAATGACTCCGAAACAACAAAGACTTTGTCGAGTATCTCTGAACACGTTTAATTCACGAGTTTACAGCATTTTCTCCTCCGTGCTCACTCACGCTTGTTTGGGTGGTTCGGGCACGCTCCACACACGCGCCGGATCTGAGTTAAAGTGCCACCTCCGTTTGATTGACAGCAACAGGCAGATTTCTCCCCAGTTTCTTCTATAAGATTGAAACTCGAAAAATAAAAAACTGTCAACAATGCGGGACATGAGTCTCAATTTGCGAGACACATGAAAAGTTATGAAAATGCGGGACATCTTGTCACCCTAGCTCCGAGCTTGATGGCAGCGTGGACTGATATTATCTGAATTATGTGACCCATGTCAGCCTTACTTTGCATTTATAAATATAGTAATAATAGCTGCAAAATTACAGATAGGGAACAATCTTTAGAAGCTGTTAAATTATTTAATTAGCTTACTCACCTCAAATTGGGCCCAAAATATCCGTTATGAGGAAGCAGCAGTCGGCAGGATCTAGCTAATCACTGGAACGACTTGGAAAAATTTTTGATTGTCCGATTCCTGTCTGAGGGAGTCAGTCAGTCAGTCATCTTTAGCCTCTTCTAACATTCTAGTTTCACTTAACTGCTTGGCAATTTCCCCATAGCCCTTATAAGCCTTGTGAAGGTCTACAATAGTCTCTGGTGTCTTTTCACAGCTCTTTGGTCTTGCCCGTGGCAAAGTTGGGAGTCTGACTGTTAGGGCTGGGGGTAAACGATTATTTTTAAAACGATTATTCTGACGATTATTTTATCGAATAGTCAACTATTCTAATGACTATTTAGACAATTAATCTAATGATTATTTTTCTATTGCACAGTTAATAAAAACCAAAAAATCTCTAATAAATTCCTCAAAATATTTGATAAATTGTTACTGTAAGAGAATAAACACTACAGGCCTTCCATTTTGTATAACACTGTTTTTACTGTGTTGGTTGGTTATGTTCTGGTGACGTGTAGAACTTGGGAGTGCAGGCTGCTGCCTGAGAGGTGGTTGGAGACGGAGTGTCTCCATGCTGCTTTGTTTTGGTCACTTATGTGCGTGAGGCGAGTGGTGTTACGACCCTTCCTGGGGAGTTTGGCTCGTGTGCAAAAAGGAAGGGACAACACGGGATTTAAAAGTTAAAATGATGATCAGGTTTATTTACAACTACAAAAAAACATAAATCTTTCCATCCACAGGTTGGGAATAATAAAACTAATTCTGCCTGTGGGGAATTAAAACAAAAGTACAAATAAGTAGGGATGTCCCACTGGGCAAAGATTACAGGGTTCTGGATCAAAATAAGAATATTCAAAGGTCCAACTCTAAACTGGGTGGTTAAACCAAACTCAGGTGATATCTTAAACGAAACCAAAAACCCACAACACTCTAAATGTAATAAAAGGGAGATCTACGCCACAAAAAAAGATGAACTCTAAACCAAAACGTAACAGCTTATCCAAACGCAAGAAGCTGTTAGCGAAAATGCTAACAGTAGCTTTACCAACGTTAAGTTCAAGTTACCAAGTATAAATGAACCAAAAACACCCAGCAGCAAACAGACCAGCACGGAGGAGAGACTGTTACCACCAAAACAGCTCTCCTAATGTCTGAAAGAAGCTCCCTTATGAAGGGAGAAACGCTCCCGGTGATGTTCTACATCTGCGGTAGAGACGGAGCAGCGCATCTGACCCCGGAAGTTGTTGTCCATTGCCGGGAGACGAAGGCGGGCAAAACAGGAAAGGAATCTAGTAGTGGACGGACATTGTTCCGGGTCTTCGGTATTTGGCGGAGATGTTAGTGAAGGTGGAGAAGAGGGCGAACTAGAGGAAAAACATGCAGATTCCTCCTCTATTTACAAACTCCTGTGGATGCAACAAGTGGGCGCGGTGCGTCGACTACCGGATCTGACGTCGACAAATTTTTAGAATCGAGCCGTCGACGTAATCGAGGCGTCGCTACAGCCCTACTGACTGTGGAGTCAAGCTCAGACAGGTGCCACTAACTTAGATTAATAAATGGATTAGAGGCGGATTAAGGCAGAGTAATATCTGAGAGCCAGAATATTTGCTGATTGCCAGGTGGTCAAATACTTATGTGCAGCAGTGCAATAAAAATACATTTTTTAAAATTGGGATTTCCTGACTGTCTTTCACAGTGAGAACGCACATAAAATTTGAATTTCAGACCGTTCCATGATTTTTAAGCGGAAGAACTTGCCAAATCGCAGTGTTCAAAGACTTATGTTCCTTACTGTATGTTAGTGCTGACACATGTATGGAGAGCTAACACTGGTGTTTAAGAAGAACTAATAAATATAAATAGGTTTTGCATTTACCAAAGTCTTTTTCCAGAATCACAGCCCCAGATGCATCAAGGGTATCTGTAGCTTTTCCGAGTTCCCCTACAGCAATGTATTTCTGCAAGACATAGGAAAATCATCACATTCAATATCTTTGTACTTTTGCAACAGCTTCGACATTTATCCAGTTTAGTTTCAATCAATCAAAGATACTTTATTAATCCCAGAGGGAAATTAGAGTTTCAGTACACATAATTTAGAGATCAGACATACATGGGCAAGACACATGACAAGAATTGGTGACTGTGGTCATTCGTAACCCTGAGTCACGCTACCTTAATAAAGATAGGAGGGTTACATGAGGATTGGTTCAGGTGGAGGGGAAAAAAGGCACTTCTGAGTTACCCTCCACTGGGAGGGCAGCTTTGCTCTGCAAAAAAAAATAAACACCTCAAACATATATGCAACAGACTTCAGATTAGAGCTGAAACGATTCCTCGAGTACCTCGAATATTTCGAGTACAAAAAATCCTCGAGTCAAATTCTCTGCCTCGAGGATTCGTTTAATTCATATTTAATTAATTCATGGCTTTGCAATCGCCCGGGGTCATGTTTCACCCGGACCGAAATAAGTGACGCACATGCCCACTGGACTGAATGCACACGCGAGTAGCGAATATAACTTAACTTTCTCTTAAGCCATGGCGGACAACTTGAACCCCGGTGGAGTGCGAAAAAGACAGAAAATGTCAAAGGTGTGGGACCATTTTTCACGTCGTAAGGTGGAAAACGTAGTCCAGTGTAAATACAGTAAAATGGATTTAGCCTAGCACAACACCACATCCTCCGTGCTGCAGCACCTGTAAATGTCACTTCTGCAAGCGGACTCGGAGCCTCTACAAGATAATGCATTTTAGCCTGTTTTTCTATATATTCTGCGGACTCTGCGACTTTTTCGTTTGTAGCACTCAGTTTCAGCTCACACCTTACATCTGGTAGCAACACGTCGGACTTAAAATGTGCTAAAAATAGCAGTTTTTACACAACACGTCAGACTTTTTATTGTGTTATTGATGTCTGTTGTCCCTCGGGGTTTCTGCAGGAGGACACGGGTATTTATGAGTGGCGAAGGAAAACGAAAGAAAGTAAATACATGTTTTGTGATCAGTATAATTTGACAAAACCACAGCAAACATGCTTTTGGCAATCCTTGTTAGTGTGAGAAAAAAAGTGTAGAAACAGCCGGCGAGCTGTTTGCGCCGTGAGCGGTTCTGGTTCTGTTTGGGCCGCAGCCGCTCGCAGCGTTATCCTCCTAGTTTTTGTCTGGCTTGCAGGCTAGCAGATTCTCACACGAGGGGAAAATCGGCTCAGGTTGTGTACTTATTTTTTGCACAGGCATTTGTTTACTGTGAAGTAAAGTTGAAGTGCTGAAGTTATGCAAACTAATTTTGAATAAAACTTGAATAACTGGCAATTGCTTGCTCATTTTAAGAGGTCTTTCATAATTATAACATGCTATTTGATATCAAATCAAATCACTTTTATTTTCACGTCACATGTGCAGGTACACTGGTACAGTACATGCGAGTGAAATTCTTGTGTGCGAGCTTCACAGCAATAGAGTTGTGCAAAAATACAGTAATGTAAAAACAAGTAAAATATAAAAATGGCTAATCTAAGTATACAAATGAATAAAGTAAACAATAAGATAAGAGATATAAAATGTACAGAGGTTGGTATGTGCAAAACAGTGGCATTAATGTACAGTATGGAGCGTGTAATGTTGGAACTTGGTGGAGCTCGTGACGAGGCAGCCATACTCGGCGCCATCTTGGCTCATCAATATATGATATAAAGGTTTACAAACACAAAAGGGTAATTTATTAGAGTACTCGATTAATCGAAAAAAAGATTCGATAGAGTACTCGATTACAAAAATATTCGATAGCTGCAGCCCTACTTCAGATAACACAAGTGTCCACTAGGTGGGGTGTTGGGTTGGGACTATCCCCACCTCAGTTCCTGCAGCCACGATAAGCAGCGCATGTCACCTTAATGTGGATAGGGGGAGGAGCATTGAGGGTTAGGGTTGCAGTGACCCTGGAGCGATTCAGCGGCCTTCCCGCAGTCCCGCCCAGGCTGGGAAAGGAGACAGAGTTGAGTTGCCATAGCGACAGCACATTCCACATTTCATCTGAGGGGGGAGTTTTCGTTGGAGCCTTGCAAGCTCAAGGGCGCCAGATTCTGATTAGAAATTGTTTTGGGGCCAGACAGAGACAATTTCCTCTCTGTCTTACAGTTTGTTGGTCCTCAACCTCTCAAAATCCCAATAATGGACGTTAATCTATCCCAATCCGTGCTGATTCGTCCACTCTATCCTTGACGGCATCCATCTTTTGTGCCAATGAATGAATCTCGGCCAAAGTTCCTGTAGGCCAGGTAGCCTCCAATGCTGATCAGCAGGAAACCTGACACCAGCACCACGAATATCCACACATCTTCAGAGTCCTTCACAGACAGCTGAGATAAAAAAAATCAAGTTCCCCTGTTTCCAGGAGTCCATGATGTGTCCAACTGGGTCTGTCCCAGAGGGGCATCCGGGAGCCCCTTCTCTGTTCTCATCATTGAAAAAACTTTTTATCATTCGCATTGAGTGACCAACTGACGAGATCCATTTTAGTGATTTCAGTTTCCAGTTTCCAGAAAAAATGCAGAAGCAGCCGTGCACCCAGCACACAGAGACAGACAAAGGCCTTGAGGATAAGATATGGAGGAGAGGAGGAAAAAAGCGTCTGCACCCTCCGAGAGCTGGAAGAGAGGACTGTCAACAACCTAAATCTCCTCCAGCACTGAGTTTTGCTGGGGGGTCAGTGAGGGTTTTGACGTCGCTAGGAGGAATGCAGATCCACGAACTCAAGCCCTGTAGTGGAGAGATTTGGTGAGACAAGTTTGTTGTTTGTTTGTTTGTCTTTGTGGTACCAAGAGAAAATCCTAGGTGACCAGAGATAACAAAGTGGTGTCGTCTGCCGTGAATAGGATGGTTTTGACGGGTTCTTTTGAATGCTGTCCGTATTTGGCTTGGTTTTCTGCATTTTAGCTGAAATTAGAAATCCAACTCTGGCGTAAGAAATGAGGTAGACCGGTGTGGTAACTATGAGATTAAGTGGTGACGTCCGCCTTGAATAGGATGGGTTGACAGATTAATGCTGTCTGAGTCTGGCCTGGTTTTAAGTGTTTTGCTGGAGAAATAGAAACATGCTCTAATTATCTGTGTTGTTGGTTGTTTGTCTTAGATGTTATCTGCTTTAACTGTTGTTCGAATGGATGAGTGTGTGTCTAGACTTGCTTATTCTTGTAGAAAGAAAGATATGGCAAATCATTTGCACCAGTCTCAAATTCGGTGGTCAGAATTTTAAACAGGGTGGCTGATAAGCCGTAAATTGAGACTCTGACCTCATGCTGAAGAAAAGACGGTGTGGTATCTATATGGGGGAATAAGAACTCACAAAATACCTTTTGAGTAAATATTGTACTTTTATGGACATCTAAATCCAGGAAATGTGGAAATGATCTGAGAATTATCAGAGGATTGATGGAAAACATGATTTTGATAACCGCTGACGTGTTACAAATGTACTATGCACAGAGCGGTGGAGAGAAAGGAAGGGTTGAAGACATGAAACAGAGAGAGCATAGCCAGGCTCAAAAAACCCAAACAACAGCTGCTGTGCTCTGAGCTAATAAGGTCTTATCAATTGAGGCCTGAAGGTAACTTAAACTAGAACATAAAGATGAAAAATGAACTCCTTGATGCAAAATGGTCATTACAGTGGACAGGTTCTCCAGATTGTAATTTACTTATTCGGTTTTTTGCTATTAAGCGCAGCTGTTGAAGACTTTATTGCATTTGAGCCCCTCTATGTGGACTTCAGTAAGTCCAGCCAACATATTTCATGTTCAGAATACATGCTATCCACTGTGGTGGACATGCAGTAAATTATTTGCAAATCATTAAATGTGAATAAAATATTCGTTGAAATTTGTTTCATTCACACCTGAAGATGAATGAAACACATTGTTAAATAATCATGGTTTAATATTTCATAACTCATGCATCAAAGGGTTAAGCACTGACCAAATATTTAATTCCTGGTATCTGGTGACTAATATAATTTGAAATATAAACTGTGTCACTTTTAGTGGCTGAAAGGGTTTTAGTGGAACCCCTCGATTTGAGAAATTGGCTGTTTATCAGTACTTGGTAGTAAAAGAGAGCCCAATAAGCTAAGTATGTAGGTTTTTAATCAAAACTTCTTGGGCTGAGAGATTGACTGTGTGTTCAACAGTAAACCCAGACCAACAAAACTAGTGACTATTGTCAAATTGCATTTTATCTCCTTATTTTTGTTTTTTAAATCTTTGTCTCTGACATTTTAAAATCAAGACAAGGGAATTTCAGCAAATGACAATCCAGCCCGTGCAACAACAGATCTGGTATGCAGTACCTGTTGAATTCAAAAACTGCATTTTGAACACTCTAAAAAATATCGGTTGTCATGAACTGAATCTCCTGGTGTCTGTCAAATGTAGGAACTTGTTCAGATCTCCGATTAGCAGACATTGTGATCAGAACAAGGGGAGAAATTGTCTGGAAGTAAAATTAAAATGAGACAGCAGATTAAAGCTGTTGTAGGGAATTTGCATTTAAAAAGTTTTAATTGTTTTAATTCTTCCCAGATTGGGAACTTTGAATTGCTTTGGCACAGAATTTCACACTCCTCCGTGTCTGGGTTGAATAGCAAGGTCGTATCAGAAAACATACATATCCTAACAGACCTTAACAGCCATGTGATTCTTAAGCACAAATCAGGAAAGTCTTCAAAATACAATTCCTGAACGAAAAAAACCAAAACGAAAGAGTAAATCCGAGTTAATGCTTTAATTTAAATATAGGTTTTGCACACTTTGAAAGTTAGAATAAAGTTGCTGGACAGGTTGATTTGAGGTCTTCTGTTCTCTTTGGAATGTAAACATCAGGCCCATGTTTTGGAACCGGTTGAGATTAGGTCAATGTAAACACAGCTGCTCCACCTTGTACGCTTTAGAATTGGAGAAATG